CCGACGTACGTGAGGCTGTTGAGAAGCGAGAGGAAGTACGGTTCCACCGCATATCGTTCCAGTTCCTCGTCATAGGAGCCGAACTTTTTGTTGAAGGCGGACATTGCCTGGGTGTTTGAGAAAGCAACCAAATCCATTCCGAAATTGATCTGAGATAGCATCATGACGGTAGATGCAAAGGCGAGTCTGCCATTGACGCTCTCAGAGATCCGGTTGCTGAAGGACGGCATATTGGCGGGAGTGAGCTAGCAAGCAAGATGCCAGTGAGGTAGTGAGAGGGAGGGGGAACTGGTTGCGAAAGAGATCAGGGTAGGGGGGTTGAAGAAGGCTTCCGGGGAAGGAGAAGTTCACCATTAATACAACAAATTAAGAGTGACCTGAAGGGGGATCCATCATCAACCTGGTCGCCAAGCACAGAATTCCCCCACAATATTGTGTAGACCCCATGGGGTCCTGCCAAAAGCGTTCCTGAGTGCGCCATGAGCGCGGGACTCACGCATATTCTGTTAGCTTTTGAGGTATTCCGAAAGTCGCAATAAAAAGGCCTCCGCTAGTCACATTCTTTAGCCGGAGCGGTCTTTGGGAACTACGAAGAGATCGAGTCGTGGGTCATCCTCCAGAAAGCGGTGAATTTTTAAGCCGAGGAGATCCATCTGCAGCAATTACAAGCCAACCCCAAGACTGAATCATTCTACCCAAGATATATCAAGGGCAGGGTTGAAAGAGACCGTCGGCACAACAAGTTGCCTGGCCAGGGATATCATGCGTGAGAACATGGCAGAGAAAGTCACCCAACCTTTAGTCTAGCACAAGTGGCAACAATCTTATTTCCACAAGACACACATAGGCCCCTCAGCCCGACCCTTGGCCCTCTCCTCTCGGCTGAGTTTACCCTCTATGCTTATATCCTTCGCGAAGGTGACCTTGTCCGGTGTAGTCTGATGTGGAACGTTCACCTTTACACTAATTTTACCCCTGACGTCCTTCAGAAACCCTGTGACCGTGTCTCTCTCGAAAACGACGATATCTTGACTCAATTGGTTGGAAACAGCAACCCACTTATTCTCCTTGTCATTGGAAAGGGCAAACATTCGAGGATGCTTGCCATGTACCTTCTGGCTTCCGACATATGTCAAATGGTGTCCATCATGTGCCGGGTCGCTGTCGACAGAATAAATCGCCAGGGTGTCATCATCTGCTCTTGTCAAGTTTCGATTCGAGGCATAGACAAATTTTCCATCATTGCTGACAGCAATCTCAGCAGCGAGGTCTTTATGCTCATCAGCAGTGGGAGGAAGATTTTTTCCCAAAGTTGAGAGCGTCTGCTTGAACTTGACAGTGAGGTCTTGTGGCCCTGTACCTTTGTAGTATAACACATACACACGAATTGAGTTGTCTTTCTCGCTAACGAGGTACATATATGCCTGGGAAGAACTGATTGGGTTGAAGGCAGCATGCCGAGCTCCAGCTGGTGATGGCACGGGAATCCTCTGGACCTTTTCAACCTGCTGCGAACATTCTATAGAGTAGATGTCGACACAGTCCATAGTGCGAAGTGGTACAATGAGAAACCGTCCAGAAGGATCAAAGGCGGCTTGATGTGGGTGTGCTTCCTTCGGGCCAGAATCCGACGTATTGTAGTCGAAAATATGAGTGGGTTTACCAATGGTGCCACTCTCCGACAATGGGTAGATAGACAACGTTGATGCGCTGATATTGGCGGCGGCTAGTATCTTTCCGTCTGGGCTCACCTCGCAGTGTACGCCCCCCTTTCCGTTGCTGCTCGCTTGATTGAGAAGCGTCAATCCCGTTCCACCTGTAGCTGAAGCCGTGACGGGTACCTTTTGGAAAGCGAAAACCTCACCGGACTGGGTGTCGCTTCCGGGATAACTGGTGCGGCTGATACTGTAGATTTTATCGTCAAAGGAAGTGAGCCATCCAGGCATGAAACCAGCGTCTGTGTTGATTCCAATGACCGACAAAGACTCATTCGCGCTTTTCCTCGGGTCAAAGGAGATCTCAAGTATCCCAGTGCTTTGTAGAGCAACATAAAGCCCGAGCGTGGTTTGACCCATGTTGGCGGTGGTATGTTGCTGCAGAGTAGCCGTTGATCTCTTAGTCTTGATATAGAGAAAAATTCCGTCGAAATCCAGGTTGCTTTATTTCGGAGAGAAGACGGCGGAGTAACTGATGCCAGCTTGTTATTCAAGCTGGGTTTGTATCTCTTGAAATTCAAAGGTTACCTAGAATTTCACTCAAAGGCGACCGGAAATATGTGAGCAGGGGAAGCGATGAAGACAGCCCCACATAATGGCCCAATTGGGCTAGTCCGACCTGCATAGGCATCAGGTTGGTTAAGATGCCTGCTCATCGCTGCTGGTAAAAAGCCCAGACGAAATGTCGGAGTCCATGAAAGGTGAGAATCGGCTTTATTTTAAACCTAAAATCTAGCAACCGAACAGATAGACAGGACACACAATATGCCAACACGCCCTTTGAAGAGATCAGGGGGAATCCCACTGTGAAATCTGCCATCATACCAAGGATTGCGAATCTCGCAATGCCAAGTCTGGTTCGGCCTCCACTGTTTCCCGCCCCCGCGTTTCGCTTCTCCATTCTCCATCCCCCACAACTACCTCGCGCATATCATTCCCCAGTCCTGGTTGGACATCTCCCCTTTGATGCATTCAATGTTTACCACTGCTGAATTCGCAGTCTTCGCCTCACCCTCGCGATCCCACAAAAACAATTGACCATGAAAGCCAAAGCGTGCACCCGCTGTCGCCAATGGAAAGTAGGCTGCGACGCCAATATCTCTGGGCCTGAAGGCTGCACTCGCTGCCAGGAACATGGCCTCCCCTGCGTCTTTGACAGCGCTTTTCAGCGCACTCCCAAGAGGAGGAAGCTGGCCGAAATGCAAGTCGAACTGGCCGAGCTGAGAAAGTTGGCGAGTTCTCGAGTCACCTCCTCCGCTGAAAGGGAGACGGGCAACACGGCTCCCCAAGCCCCTACCTCCACTTCCCTAATACCGCAATCTATGCCCAGCTTAACTGTTTGGCCCGCTACTACCGGACCAGAACCTGCTACTATTCTCACATCCGAGCCGGACTTGCAAGGCTTGTGCATCGCTGACAAATATATCGGCGATATCCATCTCGCCGCCTCGCATGTCAATGAACTCTTCCGCATCTACTTTGCACGATGCCATCCATACCTCCCATTCAGCATGAGTCGGTCAATCGAGACCATCTATGAGAGATGTGTGACGCTGTTCTGGGTCATCTGCGCTGTGGCTTCCCCCGATACCGCGCGGTCACAGTTCGAGGGTCCTATTCGTGGTCTGATATCCGATGTCCTCGACCCTGCCAAGGGCAGCACCGTCGAGATGGTGCAGGCTATCTTGATCCTGTGCATGTGGCCGTTCCCTTTTACCAACCAGAGGACGGATTCATCCTTCATTTACAGCGGAATAGCAACCCAGATTAGTCTCAGTATTGGCCTACATCGACCGGCAAGCGACGCTGATTTCGGCAACGAGACCAGTGAGCGTTATGTCGACGAAGAAATCAGGAGAACAACGTGGCTAGCCTGCTTTATCGTCGCCCAGATCCAAGCGAGCAGGCGCGGTGTCCCAGCAACGGTTGTGGCGGACTACTCACTAATGTCTTCCTGTGATAATCCCGGAGTCCCACAGGAGCTCTCTCATCTGTGCTATATCTCCCACCTCACGGTTGATTCTACTCATGCACTTGGAGCCCGTGGCTCCAATACCGCAGGCTTGGTCGAGCCCTCAGCACGGATCAGCCTGATCAATGTCTTTGGTAAACAATTCGACGATCTCCGACGACAGCGTTTCCCGAAGCCCACAGACGTCGTTGAGATATTCTTTTTGAGCTCGAGGCTTCAGCTCTGGTCCTTTGCTTTGCACAATGACGTCCCTCTATCTGCTAATACTGTTCAGATCATCTACCAGGCAAGAGAAGACGCCGTCCGACTCATCCAGATTGCATGCGAGAAGAATCTTTCCTTGGTGCCATTCTACACCCGTCGATCCGTCTGCTATGCTGCTCTGCTTCTCTGCCGGATCAAGCTCGGCCCCTACGGCTGGCAAGACGATATGATTGACCACCATGTCGAAAGAGCACAGCAGGCTCTGAGTGCATCCGAGGGTGTCAAATTTGGTCAGTTTCTCGCCGCCGTAACGTCACCAGAAAACAGAGACGTGTTTATTCGTACCAGTGGCGACAAACGGTCGCCACATCGTTCGCGAATGGGCGCATTTCTGGTGTTTGATTTTCAACGCGTCTACGCGGATCTCAGGCTGCAACAGACCAACATCCCTTTCCCTTCAGATTTCCTGGATCTCGATAATCTTCCCTGGACAGAGTTTGAGTAACACTTAAAAAGCCAAAAAGAAAAAAAAAGGCAAAAAAAAGGGGAGGAAGGGTTCAACAAAACGCGGGGGAACACAATATTGAAAACAAGCGGTGTATGAACTTATTTTCCATTCGAGTTGGAATCCGGGGTCCAAAAGTATTAAATTTGGCGGCAACTTTTCCTGCAACCTGGGGGGTTGAACTATACTAAGTATTTTTGTAGCACTGTCTGTTGTCACTGTTGTTGTTACGAGTCCTCTCGGCGTTTCACAGTCTCGTCCAGTTTGGTCCAATCCAATTCAGTCCATCACACACAGCCACGCTCGCGTCCGCGCAGACGAAATACATATTCGCGCATGAAAAGTCCACCTTGGCCAACTTAGGGCAGCCCGGCCCCAGCCCCAGCCCAGGTAGGGGAAGAGGAAATATCAGGGGTATGCTCCCTGCTGTGTACAGACAGGATGATGAGCGGAGAATACATTTGTTTCGGTGACTTCAGCGGGGAGAGGAAATAGGTGTAGGAAGCCAAGGTGAGGATAGATGGGGGATAGAGGGTATGTAGCTGAAAAAGTTCATGCCGCGCTTCTTGTAAATCCAGCAGCCCCTCTGAGGTGTTGGAAATCATTACCGCCGTGAGGAAGGTACAGTGCGTGTGTCTTTCGCTCCCTCTGAACTTGCACCGGCGTTGGGGTTCAAGTTCGGATTCGGAATCGGATTCGCAGTCGCATTGGCAAAGGATGTAATCGCACTCGCACCGGAGCGAAACTCCCTGTTGAAGCGCTCCACATGGGCCCTCATGACCTCTGCCCGGCGCTTTTCCATCTGCACGCGCTTGTCCTCGTCGTTCCGTTCGACCTCTCTGGCGGCCATGAAGATGCGCATTGCCTCGTAACTCTTCAACGCCTCGGCCATGTCCTCCCAGAACATCTGGACCGAGTCCTCTGCGACGCGGCACGTGGAGGCCAGGATGCGGCGCTCGGCGAGGTTGAGGTGCTTGTGGCCACCACCACCGCCGTCGCCGCCGCCAACGCCACCGCGGGTGTAGACGCCGCGCAGGAACGCGCGCGTCTCGGGCGTGAGGCCCAGGTAATGATTCTGCGCGGGCTCGAAGATGGTCCCGAACTCACTCTTCAGAGATTGCGCGAGGCCAACCCGAAAAATCGGGGCGGGTCCATATTTGGACACGTGGTGGAAGAGGCGCTCGCGGGCCTCGGCGTCGGCAATACTGAAAATCTTGTTCAGGTTTCCCAATAGCCCCTTGGGCCATCGCGCGTGGTTCGCCCAGCTGATCTTGGTCGCGATGGGATCCCACGGCAGCGTCGTCACGTACGGCACCGAGTCAGGATCGACCGTGCGGAACTGGTGGAAGGACTTGTGCTGCGGCGCTGTGTCCTCTAGGTCGTCGCGGCTGGAGGAAGCATCCCTAGCGCGAGTGGTGCTGGGAAAATCGACCTCCTCGTCAAATTTAGGCTTGTCGTCGTCGGCGGTGTCGTTGAGCATGAAGGCTTCGCCGTAATGAGCCGGTCTTCTTTTGGTGTGAGAAGGAAACGGAGGTTGAAATTGAGATTGTTGCCCATCCTTGGTCATCCCGTCTTCTCCCTCCTCCTTCTCTTCCTCAAAGCAGATTCTCCCTTTCTCATTGCCTGACCTCAGAAACTTCTCCAACCCGGCTTTGAGTCGAGCCATGGAGCCATACTGCTTGTACTCGCCGAAGAGACTCTTGGTCTCGGCCGCCAGGGCGAGCTGCGTGCTTCGCGGCTGGCGGGAGAGGATCGTCTCGGCCTCGAGCGTGAGGCTACGGAGTTGACCCTGCAGGTCTTCGAGGAGCTGGGCCCGCGGGTGGTGGTCGTCAGTCCGGATCGAGGAGGCAGCGTTGTTCGAACGCCCAGCAGCACCGACCCCAGCACCAGCATCGGAGTCGTCGGAATCACTCGCCTCATCTGGTGAGTGATCGGACGGCTCGTCCAGTGTATCGAAGACATCATCGTCGTTGCCGTCATTGTCGTCGTTGACGTGTGCGTTCATCTTTCTCCCCTCCTCCCTGCTTCCCTGCTGCTCTGCTTCAAGTTCGCCTGCGTGATGGTAATGACAGTTCAAGCATCAGGGGCGTGGAGGTTGAAAGAGCGTGAAACAAAGGTACAGTAGAAAGAGAAACAATACCAAGAACCGAAACAGGAGTGGATGAGAGAGAGGAAATGGAATCGAGGGTCGGGCAGATACTGAGACTGTCCTCGTGGTCATCATGTTCACCGCTGAATACTCACCATTCACTATGACCTCATCTGATATTCACTTGTTTCGTTGGTCGGGTGAAGAACCTCGCATCGTATCGTGTCGTGTCGTGTGGTGGTGTGTTGTGGTATATTCACTCTGCCCTCATGTACATAAGGCAGTTTGGTACCCGAACACCGCCAGGTGCCAATGTACTAGCTCTGAAGGGTTAAACGAGGACGAGGAAGAACAGACATTTGATAGTGTCCAAGGCCGACATTCTCTGCTTCTGCCTTTGCCTTTGCCATCACACATTCAGCTATATATGTGCGCGCATGTGCATGCATGACCTTTGGACGTCTCCGTCCATCGGGGCCCCTCGACTACCAATACTTCCCTTCATCTCGGTTTATATCATATCCATCAATCATTACCTCCCCAAGGAACCCGATACCCGTATGATAAACCCCCTCGGATAGCCGCTGGGCACAGACCAAGCAGCCCAGATTCTGCATGCCCATACGTATCCATTGTGTACATATGCAGCAGCGAAAGCATCCAGCAAGAGAGAATGGGGGAAAAGAAAAACACCTCGTCTACCATATGCACCACCAAGATGCCTCCCGTCTCCCCCATTTGGGAGACGGGGAGTGGAAAAGAAATGAACAATGAAAAGGCGCCCGCTCTCCTCAGAACTTCTCGCTGGTAAGACCCCTCGTCAGATGGACCAGCAACCAAGCCAGAACCTGTACGACCATGGTCAACAGCCAGACCACCAACTTCAGCCCCATGACCAGCCCACCCAACACCCCCCTCGTAACCGCGGGTAACTCCTCACCCTTGCGGTCGCCGGACTGGTAGTGGCCGAGCTTTTCCAGGTCGAATTCGCCCACGACGATCTTCTTGGTCTTCGTCTTCTTGTTCTTCCTTTTCCGCGACTTTTTCTCCAAGGTCTCGTCTTCCTCGGACTCGTCGGTCGTGCTGTTGGACAACCGCCCAAACCAGATCCGCGATCCTTTTGGTTTGGATCTCGACGAGCCGCTCGCCTCCCGGATGTCTGCCTCGTGGGTCCTGCGCATCAGCTTGGCTTCTTCCTCTGCCTCTTCTCGTTCCGCGATAGTGGCGTAAAACGCGCTGCCCGCATAGCTCCTCACACTGCCGGCTCGGGTACGGATACTTCTGGCGCCTATTCCGAGACGAGACGTTGGTGCGGGTCTCGGTTTCCAGATCTCCATGCCTCCCAAGATGGGATTCGTGGCTGCATCTGCGACGGCGACCGACATGACCGCTGAGACGACGCAGTCAACACTGAACAGGCTGGGCATCAATTCGAGGATGGCGTTGGCGTCGACGTGGAGGATCTCAGAGGTAAGATCAAGAGTGGCTAGGGGTGGGTACTCTGACGATGGTGAGGGAGTTTCAGTCAGTGGGAGCGTAGACAATCGACGCATGCCAGCTCCTGCAGAGGACGGAGCCGTGGTGGTAGGCGTCATGACTGCGCCTATCCGCCGCGCAGCGTTCGGGTCAATCACGTTGATCGTGGGAAGATGGCTGTCCGTCGAAATGGTAATATGCAGCACCGGCTTCCCCGTAATACTCCTTATCGTCGTCGGCGAGCTCGGAACGGGGCTCTGTGTCGCAAAATCCCCACCCATCGCGGCTCGCCCAATGGCCGGGTGCTCAAGTTCATAGAACCCGCCCCTCGCGTTAAATCGTAAATGACAGGCTTCCTGCTTGGCGGCACGACGGACTGCCTGTGCTTCGATATCGTCTCGGTCTGTTGGTGCAAGACTGTGTTGTCGAGCGAGCGCGGCTGATTGGTTTATCGCCAGCAGGGCGGCGAGCTTGGGGAATATGAAGGCGACGAGGCCGTCATTGGGTGGAAGACGGCGAGCAGCTGGTTCCAGAGGGCAGAGAATCACGTCGCGTGTGAGTGGCGTATCTGCGTTGGCTGTGGGTGACCGAGGTTTGCTGGGGCAGGTTTTGGAGATGGCGATTTCATTTGTGTCGTAGGTTTGGAGGGTGTAGAAAGGGAGAGAAGGGTGGGAGCCAAATACGAATGTTGCTTCCTCGGTCCTAGCTACTATCAGCATAACACGGCAAATACGAGAGTGAGGGGTGCAAATACCGTGCCATCTCGAGATCGAAACTCTTTATCGAACAACCCGGTTCAGTTCCATGAGAAGCGTCCCATAATTTCTCCAACTCCCTTTGTGTTGATATGCGAGGACCCACGTTAATGCTCATCACGTCCGACGGGAAGTTGAGAACACTAGCAGGGGCAGTTCTCTGGGCAGCCACTACTGCTGGCGTGTTAAATGGAATGGAAAGACTGCTTCGGTAGTCCTCCCTGGAAAGAGGTATGCCGTTGAAGGGCGGCATGCCAGAGATTCGTACCGGCGGTGGTGGGTGCGGGAGGTAGACTTGTTGAGTCAATGGCACGGAAGGGTTGTAAACGGGGAATATGGAGCGGATGGGAACGACAGGTGAAGGATCGGTGGGAGACTTATTATGCGTCCCGTCATGGATGTTTGCCGTAGAAGCTGCCGCCGCTACCAAGGTTGTTGCCGATCCTGTGCCTAAGGATGACGAAGGCTGTGGAGATGATGACTGGTGAAGCTCGGGCGACTGGTATAACGATGGAGTGTAGGTTACCACAGTTGCGGAAGGAAGAACAGGCTGGGTAGGAGTCTTTCCATCGATGGGTGAGGACGTGGTCACCGCCCTCCCGATATCTTCTGGAGAAGGGGTGGACTCTCTCGTTTGTTGCTGTTCGCTGAGGCGGGCGGGGAATCGAGGGACGGGTGGCCTCTCCTCCTCCATCTTGATAACAACCGATTCGGCATTGGGCGAGAATGTGCTGTCCGGGGAGGTAACAATACTGATACTGTGTAGGCTTGGATTCTTTTTATGGGGATTTGGAATGGCGATCTTGGGAACCGTCGTCGGAAAGAGCGAAAAGCCTTGCACGGCCGAAGTGGACGTCGTTGCAGTAGTCATGGCTGGATACCTGATCGCAGCGTATATGACTATGCTGACCCTTACAGATCGTAGAAGGAGCAGGCCTGCTGCGCGCAAAGTATGGAATTAAGAGACTGAAGAGTGCAAAAGGAAAGGAACTGGATGCACGGTGCGCAGCGCAGCGCAGCACAGCACAGCACAGCACACGACCTCAAACAACGTGTCAACGGCACACCAGACGCACGAGGACAGAAGAAGAGAATCAAGAAATAAAGGGACGTGAGCAGGACAAAAGTGAATGATTACGATTTCCTCTGCTGAGTACTGGGTGCACCTACAGAGAAAGGGAGCTCCCACCATGATGCAAGCGACCCAATCGGTCGAGGCTGGAAGAAGACGTGCCTTGGCTGGCGTTTAGCGGCTCAAGATAGAAGTTATGCCGGATCATGGAGATCCATCACACCTGTGAAGACGCTGGAGAAGCACATTGGCGGGAGAGAAGCGAATCGCGAGGCGAGGGGTGGAAATTGTGGACATTGGCAGAAGGGGAAGATGGAGGGAGAAGACAGAGCAAGACAGAAGAAAGCCTTGGAGTGGAGTTGAAATGGCCTCAAACACGGTCGGCGCGTAATGCTGGCGGTGGTTGGTCCGTCTATTTTGGGAACCGAGTGGGTCTCTTGGTCTGGTCATCTCTGTATCGTGAGTGGCCGGTACTCAACAGCAGCCAAATGCGTACTAGAACAACCAGAAATTCCACCAAGTACCCAGCCCGCCAAGGTACCTTGTCACTACTTTTCTCACTGTACCGGGACTTTACACAGACCTCCCTTCCTCTCCATGCACCTAGCGCTGCCTTTGCAGGTCCTCGGAATAGAAACTGCAGCCAATAACTTGCCAGCATACTTGTTTCAGAATCATCTCTCCTATCTAGCTCCGTCTAGCTAGTACGTCAAGACCTCTCTACCCAAGATGGCCATTTGCGATCTTCCCCAGTTCGCCTAGAAAAAACACTGCACCAGTGATATGCTCCATCACGGCAAGTTGAAGTCCACCACAATACGCCTGCGCGCCTGGTTAGTGACCACTTTGCTTTGCCGTGCCCGCCGAGGCCCGAACTTACCCAGCTACTTGCCCGTTCTTGAGCTTCTGGACCGATTCATTGAACTTGCTTAACCCGACCACGGTCGGCTCGAGTCGGAGCTTCCCTAGATACCATTTCAGTTTGGCCATGGTCATCTATCCGTGCACGCACATACCTCGTTTGGCAAAGTCTAGTGTCTCGTCGATATCGGCCAAACTGGCGACCAGCGTTCCTTTGATGGACTGATTCCGGAAAACCAGCTTTGATGGATCAAGGTCGATGTGGTACTTGCCGTGCGGGGGAATGCCAATGCTATGGACGGGTTAACGTGCGCATCTGACCTGGTCGGTCGTAATATGTGCTTACCACATGATTTGTCCACCTCCTCGAGCACCGAGATAGTCGAGCGCAATTGGGTATGATTGTACGGCTGTTCTTTCTGTTAGCCACCTGTCGGGGGAGATCACAGTGTGTGCAGAGACACGCACCGGTCACAATGACGCCATGAGCTCCTCCTTCGGTTATTTCGAGGACTTTCTTCACAGGGTCTTCTTCCTTGAAGTCGACGAAATGTTCGGCACCCAAGTTCAGGGCGAGTTTTCTCCTCTCGTCTCCAGTGTCCACCACGATTGGTCGGATACCCATTGCGGAAGCTAGTTGAACGCCCTGGATCCCAACACCTCCACCGCCACCGGGGAAGACTGCCCATTGACCGGGTCTAAGATCTGATTCCTTGAGCGACGAGTAAATCGTAGACGCCGAGCACATCACGGGGCCGGCGACGTAGTCGGATACTCCCTTGAATGGGTCAATGTGTGCGAAGGCTCTGGGCGAGGGGTTGGCCCACTTACATCAGGAATGAGCTATATAACAGAGTTAGCCTGTGGTCTCGCATGCCTAGATTGGAACTCACAGTGGTGTAATTCTCTGGCGAGACCACATATTGCTTGTATGACCCTGCAGAAGTGTCAATATCCGTTCTTGCACACGTCAACCCGCACCCACCATCACACGCGCCACCTGTGAAGACCGCTTTTGCGCAGTATGTCTCTCTGCCGGTTTTGCAGTATTCGCAGGAATGACAGACATCTTGAATTGGCTTGTACCCCGCCCGCTGGCCGACCTTGTATGCCTTGACGTTCTCACCAACCTTGACAATAACTCCAGCTCCTTCGTGCCCGGCACATCTTACTCCCAACTCAGACATCTTGGGAAGATTCCAGTCGTTCAGCATAAAGTGAATGTCGCTGAGGCAGAGACCGGTGGCATTGAGTTTGATCAGAACGTCATTAGGACCTGGACAGGAAACACAGTGGTCAGTCAGGTCAGGAGAACTGAGTAAGTTCTAAACAACAAGCCGACACATACCGATTTCAGGCACAGGCACCTTCTCTACTTCGACGTAGAAGTCCGGGCCCTCATTTTTCTATTGAGTCGTGTGAGACATTCGACCAGACTGCTTCCCTTCAGGCCACCTACCACAACGCCACCCCAGCATTCCTTGGGAATATCGAAAGTCGGGGCAGGATCACTCATGGCGACGGAGCTTGCGATCTCAACACCGCGGCAAGAAGGGAGACAGGTTAGAACAAGACAGAGACAGCTGCAAGAAAGAAGCAAAGAGGCAGGAGAGAGCAAGTAAGGCCAGCACCAAGAGGTTTTTATGTCTCAATACGCGGACTTCAAGGATTGCGCAGACAACGAGGGGTGAAGGAGGGGTTCCTTTGTCGCAACTCTGCATAAACGGAAAAAGGGCTTCAAATGCACGGCCGGATGGTTCGTGTTTGGAGATCCGAAGTCGAGAAATGCCGAATAGATGGAGCCTTAGGGTCGGTGTCAAGTCTTCTGACTCGAATACTTCGACATTGAGTCCCACCAGGAGCTCCCAAAGTGAGGCCACCAAGGCTGCAGTTCTGGAGTGTGTATCACGAAAGGGAAGCCGACCCAAGGAGCCTTTTCTCCATGTGGGCAACATAGAGGGGATTCTCGTATTACTACCCCTGCAAGCGGATGACTATTTTCTTACCATTCTCATCCAAGCACGCGTCTTTTTCGAAGACATTGGTAAACGTGCAGCGGGGTTTGAGGGGGAAGGATAGCGGGGCGGTCAAGCGAAGAGACGAGGACTCGACAAATATGGGGAATGAGTATTGGGCCGAGGCTATGACCCTAGCGCCCCCTCTGCCCCGTCTCCGTGGTTCTTCCGACAAGGCTGCAGTCTCCTGGTTTGCCCTCGCCAGCCAGCTCGCAGCGCAGTGATCTTTGTCAATGAAAGTAATCCGTTGCTCGTGTTCATATTTCAGTACCGCGGAAGATATCAAGCTTTGCGCAGCAGATCCACTTGACGAAACAGAAGCAAATAAACCGCGGAAAGATTAGCTCGTTTCGTCAAAATCGTTGTCCTCGGAGAGAGCCTGGTAGATGTCTTGCTGAATGTCGGTTTTCTTCATACGCCGCAGTCTGGAAGCCACTGCAGCAGATGTATGGGAGCCAACAATGTGCTCTCGTATCGTCCAACACGCAATACCTAGAATCACGGCCTCAATCATCGTCTTCACTTGCGATGAAATCTGGGCCTAGTGCTTCCCAGTCCTCAACTTTGCTTCTGAGAACCCTGACCCCAAATCCTCGTTTCTTACAAGCACTGTGATTCGCAACGCGAAAGAAATGCTGAGCGTGATGGATCATGGTCGCCTGAAACTGGTTCTTCAACGCTTCGACGAGCCAATTCTCCAGAGCATCCCCTTCATCATCGTTGTGGTCGTCTTCGTCACGCTTGCACCTGCCTTTTCCATTCATGTCGCTCTCCTGGGGTCTCGAGAACGTCACCATGGCCAAGTCAAGAAGACATCTGATGCCGTACTTGTGGAATTGCGCCTGCGTGATTTTCCGAAAGACGAGGGCCCGCAGCGTGCCCATCCCGAGCTTCTCTGCAAGAACATACAAATGTCCCGCCCTGAGCGCTTCATTTTCGTAGTGGTCAACGGACGTGCAGCCGTCTAGTTGTTTAGGGATCACATCCTCTCCATGAGGGTTGTCGACAAGGGCGGGCATGTATTCGTCGGTAAGTAGAAACTCGCGGACGGATTGAAAATGGTCGACATTGACCGTCGTCAGTTTCGGATGCATGATGTATGGACCCGGCGCGCCGAGTTTGCTGATCAAAGCCCTCAGTATTGGTGATTTGTCAAGATCTTCGAGGGCCACTTCAATCTCTTCATTGTTCTTCCCTACGTAGATTTTCACCCTCTGATCTGGTGGCTTCTTTTGCAGGTTCTCAAGAGCTTGTATTTCAGCTTCCCTTTTGATCCTGACGCGCGCAGGCCTAGATTGGGGTGACATATTTGGAGACGGCTGAGACGATGTTCGCCCTAACGACAGCGTCGTAGAAGTTCTGCGTCGCTTCGGGGCCGAAAAGGGATACCGTGTGATTGTGCCTCTTGAGCTGGGTTCTCCGACTCCATGTTCATTTATACAGTCGTCAGAGCGGGCAAATAATGCCTCTTGCTTGTACCTTCGAGCCCTCTCCTCTGCAGTCCAAGAAGGTTCGCCCCAGGAGCTTGACATATCGATAATGTCGAAGTAAAGGGCCGATGAATGAATGCCGAGGAGTTCAGAGGTCGATCACTGCAACATCTCAAAGTGTGACGTACCGGTTATCGAGAGTATGGTGCTAGGAGACGAGAGAAAACGCAGGAAAGACTAGTGACTGGCAGATTGAGTGCAATTCTGAGAGAAATTAAACGAAAGGAGACAAGGTAAAGAGATCCAACCGCATCTCGAACTGGGTATCCAAATTGCAAGCGAGGGAGAATCGAAAATGAAAGAGTGGGTAAAAACCATGTCGACTTACTGTCACACGCTTGCCCGGACTCTGGATATCACTGTTTTATCACATGCTAATGGCTGTAGAATGTCAATTCACAACAAAGTGCACTGGTAAACGTATTTTGAGGTGGCCGAATCTCTCATTTCCTATTCTGAACACAGAGGTTTTCATCCCATCCCAGGAATCAGGTCTGAAAAGTAGCTTCACCATATCAGACGTCGACATCAGAGTCGAGAAAACAACCAAGGTACATAAGAGCTGCGAGTTGTAGGTCGCACACTGTGAGTTGATTATTCCCATGAGATTCTCAAAATCCCATTGAAAGAGCGGAAAGCTGAAATTGCGCCTAAAGCAGGGCCATTAGAAGGAGTAGGGTTGCGATGAACCAGCAATTGTCGTCGGCCAACCTCGAGAAGAAGCGGAGTTGTTGCTGCTGTCAAAGCAGGCGAGGTCCCACAAGACTCGTTGTTGATACCAACGGCCCTGGTAAACATACTGTCCTACCTCACATCATAGCACCAAACCGTCGAGCCTTGGAGTGGATTGTGCAACCTTTTAGATGACTTTGGGAGAGCGGCTGTTGCTGTCAAAATCGAAAGATGTAAGCTGTTTGTCTCACGGATCACGAGTCTCAAGTGCCACCAAGTCTTGTGTATTTCTCTTACCTGATCTCAACAATGTCATCGATATGATTGCACATGGCCACAAACAGGTCGAAAAACAATTTGCCCCCATTCTCCATTTCCATCTGCATGGTTCCGCTCCTCTTGAAAGTCTTGCGACTTCGAATGATCAGAGCTAGGTAATGAGCGCGGAGTCGCGATTCCGTATCTGGCGTGTGCGCGTACGCATACCGAGCCGATCGCAAGATCACGTCGACTTGGATTCCAGACTGCAACCCCTGCTTCCGAAGAGACAGACGTTTCAGTTCCTCCAGGCCGTACCTCTCGGCAGCGCAGTACACCACGGTGTCTCTGAGAACGTCGCCGCCAGTATCGGGGAGATAGATTGTCGATGCGTTGTTTCCGCGGCCACCATTTTTTATGAGGTCCTGGGCGTCCTCGAGATCCCAAGTGTTTCGGCGCTTGTTGTGAAGCAAGCGAGGATAATAGTCACCCTTGTAGAGAAACTCGAGGATGCAGGACAGGATTTCGGGTTCTTCATCGGGCAGTTCCACCCTCTTCGAGCCGCCTTCAAGGAAGTTGCCTTTCAGAGCAGCCGCGAAGTAGGGTGAATGACAGAGGACGTCTTCGTGAGCAGCGAAGAGTCGCTGCTCGCAACCCACCACCAACGTGACGATGGGACTCGTCAGTGTGCTGCATCTAGAAATCAGTATATGTGTCTGCGCGCAAACGGCCATCCTTTGTTTGGTTTGCGGCTGCCTACCTTGCCACTGGCGAGCCGGCGTCCACAGTGTCCTGCATCTTCTTCTTCACGTGTTCGGGATAATTGGTCTTTGTGGTCTTCGACTTGACGATGCGACCTTCCCTGGTATTGAACGATCGCTTGAACATGTCGTCGAAAGAGCGCATTGGCATTAGGCGGGAAATGCAATGATTGTTGATTGTCAAGATCCAGAGATTCACGAACGAGCGAAGGAAGGGGATCGAAAGAAGGGCAGAAGAACCTGTGAGGATAGTAGAGAGCGTGATAGGTTTTCTTCGGTGGGAGAGTGACGCGCTCACAAAGGAAGCATGTGATGAGGAGCTGCGCAAGTCTTCGCTGGATGACTTCTTCGCCTGCCAACCAAGCTCCGGAGAGAAGGTCAACAGCCAACAGAAATCACACGGAAGAACTTGACGGTTCGGGTTACTTTGCGCAAAGACAAAGATCGCCGGACGCGTGTGTGGTTTGCCTGCTCGGGTGCGTGAAGGAAGGAAAGGAAGAAGGACAGAAACGGCAGGGCTGAAATATATAACAACTGCGCAGCGCAGGCGGCTGCGGAGGTCTTGGCCCAAGGCAACCAAGCCAACAGATGGAGTGTCGAATCATATTGGATTTGCTGCGCCTATCTCCAGGCATGCATGCAGTGCAACTTGCAGTAGTGAGTTGTCGAAACACAGCCCCGGGAAAGACAGTCGAAGTGATGGAGAGGTACTGGAGGTAGCACAATCAGGGAAAAGCCATCACTTGGAGATCATTTGTTGACATTGTCAGCTGACCGCGTTCGACGGTCGCACGCGTCTTGTGCCTCTGGCGCAGGCCGCGGCACATACATAGTGTCCAAGACCCGAGATCGCCAGCTTGTGACTCCGTCATCCTGCTACCTCTGTGTACATTCCCATCCAGATATTGACACCAGGTCGATGAATCCGAACGTCGATGCCAACGCTGCGCCGCCTCCAAAATCAGCCCTGATGTCCGATCTGGCAACCTCACCTTAGCCAGAGCCATCTAACCAGGCGGCAATGTGTACGCAATGCCGAAGAACAAAAGTGCCGCTGTGATGCAAAAGTGCCTGGCATATTGGATTGCCCAGTCAGGACTGCTTGTGAGAGTACTCGATCGGTATGCGCCCGGTAAGTGTGTGTTTGGTGTCTTCCATTCGGTCGTCTAGAAATAGGTACGCATCCTCGAAGTCCAGCCATTAGCCTCCACATTCTTCTGCTCCATCTCAGCAATTTGGTTGCCCTCTCGAATTTTCCTCTCCTTGTCCTTTCGCGACTTGATGCGCTCGAGGATTTCAGGAGTTGGATTCTCGACCGATTCTGGCGTGGGTTTCGCGCAGCCATGTTGAAGAGCATCATATCTGTCTCGACAAGCATTCTGGGAGAAGTTGACCACAGGCTGGACGTTCGCATAGTTAGTACAACTTGCGTCTATCATGACAATGGTGGGACATGCCTTCATTCTCTTCATATTATCAGCCACCATGCGCCATTTTTTCGACTCGATGTCGTCTTTGAGCCTCTTGACTTCCTTTTCGGTCTTGATAACAGCTTGCAATAGAACATCATCCTGCGAGCTTGTCAGTCGTCGTCTGTGTGCCCCTTCGATTGCCAATACATACATCTCCCTCATGCCAGTCCGTTAAATCTGCGTCGAGCAGATCGTCTTGTCTCTTTTGCAAGGCGGCCTTGATGCGCCTCCAGCGGGTGCCGATGGTTTTTGGGTTGTAGGCGGTGCGACCCTGGTCGATGAGAGCTTGCGCGATATCCTTCTCGAGAAATCGAGCCTCTTTCATGCGCACAATCAACTCGTCATCAGAATCCAGGTCCGCGGTGACCTTTTTGGCAACGGCGGGGCGACCTCCTTGGATCTTCATCTTCTTGATGTCTGCTGCATTGGTGATTTTGCCCGATTCGAATACGCGGCGACGCTTGGGCTTAGGCTTGTGACTCTGTCGGATGTGATCAGTGATGCTGAACACAAGAGGTGTTGCATGGATGGTCTTACCTCCAGACCCAGGTCATCGTCTGCTTCGGACTCGAGATCGGCTCCTCCGTCACTATCATCGTCGTCCCAGGCTTGGTTGCCCGCGTCTCTGTCACCTTCCACTATCGGACCACCAACTGCTTGACCAACGTCTGCTAATGTTAGACTTAAAAATTCTCCCAAGAATTTTCCGCATTTCAGGGGACCGTCAACCGATGACTTGCCTGGGGGAAAGTACTCGAGATCCAGCTGCTGGTGTGCGAAGTACGGGAGGCGGTGGGCGCTCTGGTGGTTGACGATTGCCGGAGCCTGTTTCTTTGTGTTTTGGTTTGGTTGTTTACCGCGGAAGACGAGAGGTCTGCACTCCGTCTTGCGCGGGGCCGTGAGTCTTTCGAAATATTGGGTGTCGACCCGCATGTTGGGCGCGCGAGGCAATCAAGGTTCGGTCAACACTCAAAGGAGGACGCGCAGTCTTGGGACAGAGAGCGACAAAGAAAAAGGTGTTGGAACGACTGACACTGTGTCACTTGTGGGTGTAAACACGCAGTTGGGAGTGACGGAATTGCAGGTGAAGGCCAAGGTGAAGGTGAAGGTGTAAGGTGAGGTGAGGTTGAGGGTGAGGGCGGTGGTCGTGACCCTGCAGGTCGACAATCGCAGTCACTCCCGAAACCGTGACCCCCTGATCTTCTCAGCCTCTTCTAATAACGATCGTCTATAGCAAGGTAAAAAAAAAAAAAGACTGCTCGCTTTCAGCTTCTGTTGTCATAGCAGTAGGTATTGACATACTCATGCGCTCCCCTTCTCGAAACGGCCATCTTGAGCATGCACTCTCGCTTAATCCGACACCTTCAAAGATCTGTGATCCAGTCTACACGTCCACGCCATATTCCCTTCAACCCTACATCATTTTGTTTACTCGCTGCAAGGCTATCAGCCGTCAACCTTCAGAGCAATGCAGCAGCTTGGTCGTCGGACGCGCTGATTGGCTGTTGATGGACATGGCTGTGCCAACTTCTGGTCATGACGTCGATGTGGCGCAAACACCACTTTACAGTCCCCTCGATATGACCCAGCTAACTCAGCACCTTCGGAAGGGACATTCTCTTCATCATTATTGACAGTGTGATACCCTTTTTTTTGTCTCTATTCTTACCTTTATTTTTCCCTTCCTGAGGCATAAGGCCCCGTAAACTTGGCCAAATATTATTCTGACCCATAATTAAAATCGACTGTCTGCGAGAGTCATGGCAATGGAATATATCAATTACATCAAGGCCAAGGCCCACCTTGTAACCTCGCGCAAATCTGAGATGCCGGTCTTGTCCGAGGAAGATGAGAAGTTTCTGGATCGCATTACATCTCAAGAAAATCCTCCTCCGCTCCCAGCCCGGCCGGGGGTGCTGACACAAGGCAAGGATGCCCAGATCGCCCTTATGGACGGCGCCCAGAACATCCCTCTCCCTCCTGAGACTCCAAATGAACTCAGCGAAGAGCCGGCAATGATCCAGCAAGACGAGAATGGCGCCACACAAGGCGCCCCGCCTAAACCAAAGACCACCTGGAGCTGGCTCAGGCGGGATAGCCGAGACGTTAAACGCCAAAAGAACGAGGCCACCGCTGCTGGTTTAGAAGACATCGCTGCCAGTCTTAAGAAGCGCGAACTTGAAGACAGCGAGGAAGAGAAGCAGGCCAGGCAGGAAGAAGAGGACATGACCATCGTGCTGGAGCGGCTCAACCTGGCGGCCGTCAACAATCGCGTCTTCTCCATCAGCGACGAAACGCAAGAACTGCTACAGAAATTCAATCTAATTTTCAAAGATCTCGTCAACGGTGTGCCCACGGCGTACGAAGACCTGGAGAGTTTATTGACGAATGGTGACCGGCAGCTGCAGAAGACTTTCAATTCGCTCCCGGCATTTTTGCAGAAGCTCATTGAGAAACTCCCCGAGACTATGACCAAGGGGTTTGCGCCTGAGATGATGGCGGCGGCTGCCGAAAGGGCGCAGAAGAGCGGGGTCAACATGGAAAACGCAGGCAAGGCAGCTGCTGCGGCGAAGAAGATGGGATTCAAGACACCTTCGTTGAAAGAATTGGTGGGTAAGCCAACAGCCATCACGGCGGCGCTCAGGTCGATCATGAACTATCTCCGGGCGCGGTTCCCGGCATTCATGGGCATGAATGTTCTATGGTCACTAGCATTGTTCGGTAAGGACTTTCTCTCGGCCCCAGGGCGACCCACTGTTTCAACTTATAGACTAATCCTTGAGGCGCAGTGTTGCTCTTTGTCTTCTGGTATTGTCATAAACGTGGTCGAGAGGTTAGGTTGGAGAAAGAACGGCAGCTCACCGAAGAGGAAGTGCAAAAGTTGGACGTCGACTACAAGGCAGAGCATCCGGATGAATATCCCACCACGACAGCCGAGAAGGGGGCATCAATCCAAGAAGTGCAAGCTGGCATAGAGGAGGTTCAGGCCGCAAAGGAGGCGGTGGAGGTGCCAGAGCAGCCGGTGGAAGTGGAACCCAGGGCAGTTTCTCCATCGACAGCAACGGCAGCCTCAGCGCCGTGACGAATGGGGATTGGACCAAGGAGAATGCACTCGTGACGACCTACCGAATCATGATGATGACGACAGTGACGGCGATGCGAGTGTGGGGTACGTTTAAGTTTGGGTTTTTTCTCAAACTTTTTCATTTTTTTCACTTCTGTTTCAACTTGGCGGGTAGCGGTTTGGCCTTGAGAATGGGCCTGACGGGGCTGGAAATGATTCGGGATGGGGCTTTGGTTTGGCAACGGCGCGAACGACAAGAGCAGTGACTCTCAGTGGATTGAGGTGCATAGTAACCGGAGGCTTCCCTCCTTGTCAGTATTTTGAGATCGAATGATTTTTCTGCAAGCTCTGAGTTTCCCTCACATTGAGTTTTATAGGATTTTATGGAGTTTTACTCATGTGGCACGTGACGAAGGGTTTTGCCTTTGAGTCATTGGAGAAGGAATGGAGTCACCGGAGTCTCAATAGCTGGGTAGCGATTGGCTGCGCTTGAGGCACGCGAGGGGCGGGATGGAGAAAACATCTGATATAATTTTTTTGAATTTTTTTTGTGTTAAGCCCTTTTTGTTTTGAGATTCATGGTGCTCCAGACCAGCAAGAACTGTACAGAGGTCAAACAGTCAACAGATGCCCAACAATAGCAGAAACAAGAACCAAGATGCAAGTGTGTAACCAATGGTGCGCATTTACGTAGCTCCAGATGCACCGAGTACCTAGAGTCGATCAAGAGCTGGGAATAAATAGCGGTGTGCAGGCTCTGCGAGGGCCTGTGGAGTTGCACATTGCCAACCCGCCTCAGTCCATGAGCTCGATAGGCTCAATACCTAGTAGGCAGGTGGCTAGTCCAGCCCTTAGTGCCTTTAAGTAGAATGACTCCAGCAATGGGCGTCCAGGCGGAATGGAACCACCGCCCGCTCCGCAGTCACCGCAGGCACCGCACTGTGCCGTACAATCCCAAAAGCCTCTTTTGCCCTCGACTTCTCACCTTTTTTTCCCTTCCTCTCTTTTCCCTCTTGCTACAACCTCAGCCAACTTCACCACCCGTATATTATTACTATCTGTCAGAGCATCGTCCAAGCATTTTTCTTCCATATCGTTCGAGGACCATCTTTTGCTCATGGCCTTCGCTGCTTTCTAGACGGCCGGGAGGCTCCCTCTCCCACCTGCGGAGAGGGAGTCTTCTCTCGTGGCCAGTCAAGCAGCTCCAGCAAATCCTCGTTTCGATATCTACTCTTTCGAGGCTCTACCCGCGTAGGAGCTCCCGTCCACTGTTGTCCTCGAAATTGCCCCATTTGCACACCGGAACGGCACCCAATTGTCCTCGCGACACGAAGGTGCTGAGCACGATATTTTCACCCCCAGGACGACCACTCCGCCCACCTGTCCCCCCGCTATCCTTGACATCGAACCCTCATATTACCATCTACTCTCTTCATCCTTATTTGTTGGCAAGCCATTGAGCTTTTGACTTTTAAGTCACCAATGTCTCGCCTGTACACCCGCAACTCGCGGGGTCGCCAGCCAATGCTGGGTTCCATCAGAATATCAAAGTCGAAAGAACACCCCAACGACACATATGAGCCGAAGCCGAAGAGGGGCAAAGCTGTTCCCAAAAACATGGTAACGAAGAAATCGTCTGGCAAAAGGAAAAGAGCAGACACCTCGGCCTCAGAGGGCGACGATTCGTCCGACTACGGGTCTGAGACGGCAGACGATGCCTCGGACGAAGACAGCGAGGATGAAGCCGATGATGAAGACGATCTGCCAGCAGTAAAAGCCCCGTCTCGTTCGCGGAGATTGAATGGGGCGGGGCCAAAGCATCAATCCATTGCACCAGACAATGTCTCCCTCGCTAGCAGCTCTGATAGCATGTTCGGTGATTTTGAAGACTACTATGAGGATGACGAGGACCCAAATCTCTCCCCCGAAGAGAACAGGAAGCGTTTCGAAGAAAAGGTCTTCGCAGAATCGGACGATGACAACGATGTTTATCAGGCTGTCGATGACATTAGCGATTCTGACGACGAAGTCGAGGGCCAAGAGCAGGAATTGCTCGCAATGCTTTCCGAAGAAGGTCAGAGCGATGCCGACTTCCTCCTCAACCAGATCGACGGCTTGTCCGCCTACGGGTTTGGAGATGAGAGTGAGGGTTCCATCTACCGCTTTGCCTCCTCACAAGGAAGTGATAGTGCTACTGAAACCGCTCCCGAGAGACGGGTGCACTTTGCCACGGATGCCGATCCGCCCATTTACTTCCCCATGTCAGAGTCGCCTACAATTACTCGTGCCCTACTGCCCTCGGCATTACCAGACTCCGGGTTTTCTCGCCACGGTGCTGACAGACGTGTTGTCGGGCTGGTCGATGATGTGGACGACTGTATGTTGAAACGTGATTTGTCCGTGTGGATGATGACTAACGCCCTGCAGCTGATCTGACCGACGACTGTTTGCCGGAGGAGGCCCTTCAAAGCACACCCCACGCAGCCGGCGACGAAAAAGAAATGTCCCCCTTGGCGTCTCCGCCCTCCAAAAAATCGGGCAAGAAGCCAGCTCATCGTCGGGGCCCCCGTCGCGGCATCTTCATCGACGAAGGTGACAAGACATCGGGCATTCTCGACCCTTCGGGCAAGATTATTCTCATGACCAATCCTCATTTGCTCGGAGAAGAGTTTGCTCGTCGATATGGGGCATCTCAAACGTCCAGTCCCGACGTGGGCTTTGCCGAGCTCATTGAGGAGAGCGATGCTGGTGATCGCGACCCTACTGAACTGCTGGCTGGCCCAAGTGCAGACATCATGCTGGCCAGCCTCAATTCCGCAATCAATGACCCATTCAATCAAGGCCAGGCTGTTGGCCCCTTGGAAGCCTT